TTCCTCGGTCAGAAATCTTTCTTGTTATACTCCTAGTGTATTTTTCGTTATGTTTTTCTTGTGTTTCATGTTGTTTGAGACTAGTGATAGTGGAAGGTTGTGTGCCGGCAACACTCAGAGGTTCTCGGTTTGTTCATGGCTCTTAGAATCGGCAGGCAGAGGAAGGAACCTTGGGAAACTCGGATCTCGGTGATGGAGCATGTTCCGAGGATGTATCTTGTGGGGCATGTCGGATATCGGGAATGTCCATGAACAGTTCTTTATTTGTATGTGGAGAGCAGCTTTATGTTTTATATTTAAACCGCAACGGTGCCGGAAGATTCAAAGGTTAAGCTGGGCTTCAACGACAATACAAAATACACTACATCTATTTCTTCCTCTTTATTGTCCTACTTCCACTCCATTCAGCCGTTCATAATAATACCCACTACGGCCTCTAGTATGATAACCCCTGAGGGTGACCCGGCATCCCCTTGAAACTAGCAAGTGCACAGAAACAGACAATATCGATAAGCCACGGCCCGTAAAAAGAATTTGCTAGGAAAATCATATGGAGGCCAAAGGTTCAGAGGAGCGGTCAGGCGGGTATCCGAAATGTGTAAAACTCCTGGGAGACCGAGGCTGGGGGATCTGCTCTGGTGGGCTGTGGGTCTTCGGGTCTATACCCACTCCTCTATTCCGATTGGATCGGACTCGACTGGGCTGTGGAGCCGCTGGCTGGATATTCATTTCCTAAGGGTTGGTACTATTGAAGTTTGTTGCGTCTTAGTACTCATAAGATAATGAACGCTGCGATGTCGAGTGTGCGTTGCAGCACAAGATTAGAACCACCTTCGGTTCGCCACGAGTAAGCAGCAGTTTCACATGCGAGCTGGATAGATTTGCCGCTTCTGGAACTTGTGCTTTGCGATATCTACAATCTCATTCGCGGAAATAAAAAGCCTATCGGTGGACCTTACCCAGTCTCAAGCAACAGCTCCCCGGCACCTTGCCACTAGGTATTGCACTTATGGGACTTCGCACCACAGACCCGCACGGATGGAGAATCCTGCATATCACGATATTTTATTTTACCAGCGACATACGATCGTTGTACTATCGTCAAGGCTACCGGAGAAGTATGGCACCGTACTAAGCACTAGCGCGATTGAAGTGCTACCACACACGGCGACACCTTGGTGAGGCTCTCGAATTTGCCGGGTGTTCACATAATTGCACCATGCATCCCAACCAATGCCTTTCTACCTTCAACTTGGTCAAATAGCTTTTGAATTTTGCCACTTGGGCCCATGGATATAGCCCTCGGAACTTGGTGAATCGGACGGCGGGGACTAAGCAATGTCTCTTCCCCTTGGGGGCATCAAGTAAAGAAATTGTGACAGTATCCGCGACAGTATCAGGGAGTATTCCTTAATAATTGTCCTAGTGTAGTATCGGGAGGATATCCGCCGTATATCGGTTGGGTTGATTTGGGGGCATTGTACCTTCGGGAAATCGCCATTACACTCCCGGCTACTTCAGCTGAGGTATTTCGACAAAGCTCAGCCTTGGGATGATGAGTTTTTCCGCACCTCTAGAGTCTAGGCTAACTTGCTTTTGCTGTTCCTGTTATACCCCATGTTCATGCACACTAATCAAGTGGGGATGGTCTAAGAGCCTTCCTAGGTAGAAATTCTGCGGTTTAGTAATTCTCCTCGATTTCACACCGACTCATACCATCTACAATAGTAAATACAAGGAACCAGGTAAAGTGGGTGGGGTGAGTTACAGAGGCGCTTCAATTAGTGCTACCAGGGGGGCACAGGGCTATCGGTTGGGGCAGGGATACTCACGCAGACCCTTGCTACTTTTGAAATAATAAGAGTGGCGAGATCCGTGCGCTATATCATTCAGCATCCTCACTCTTGCTTTCGTTCAAGAATTACAAACCCAGCACGCGGCAACTCACGTCAACTCCTCAACTTCAACGCAATTTCTCCCTTTCCCACTCCTATCAAACATACGTCCAAGAGCAAGAAAGTAAGCAGGAGGTGAAAAACAGGGGCCGTGTCATAGTGATAGGTTCTACGGAGGAAAAGAAGCCCACTCTGCCTATAGGGGTAAGATTCTGACCAACTAACTGCGCTGAGCACGCCGGTGGCTAATTTTGGACACTCTCAATATCAGAATTTTGCATCTACGTGCTGCTGAACAAGGCTTCGAAGGAAAGAGGGCTGGGACGAGCATCGCAGCTACTGTTCATGTTTGTGACAGACGTGGATACCCTGTGGACTCCCGGATTTAAGGTCCCTTGAGGGTGACGAGCCGTTGGCAAGTCTAGGTAGTTGGCCCTCTCCAGTACGTATTAGCAAAACTCATACTATGTCCTAAAATGTACTAAGTCAAACGATTAGCTACCGATCTCATCCCACCAAGCGCGAAACCCCTCGTCCACCAATATATACACCAAGAAACCCCTCTCAATCGTCCACTAGATTCTAGAATAGGGTGTCGGACAAGAGCGAATCAACCAAATACTTGATAAGATTCCCCACCCCACGCGCACTACGGCATCTAGTATGGAGGGAGTGTCCGGAACTAGCGGAGAGGGGGACCTTAGAATCGGGAAATCGGCCCAGAGTCCCGACACAAAGAGGTGGCGGGAAGATATCGAGGGCAATATGGAAGCCTCGGATGCCTTCTTTACCCAGTATGAGAAAACAGACGATATCGACGTCCTCATGAACGCAATTTCTCGAGCCGAAAGAGCAATTTCAGCAATGAACTCCGACCATCCTGGTCGCTCCATTTTACTTTCTAAGTTAAAGAAAATGTTTGGGAGAAAATTTGAGCACACTGAAGATGTAGTGGATCTCGGCAGGGCGTGGGTGTGGGGAATAGAGGAATTGGACAAAACGCCACGGGTCCAGGCTACCCATGCAACGGCGTGCAGTAGCATCCTCACCATACGCCGTCAGCTAGAGAATGCACACAGCAGGCACGGAATGCCGGTTCCGCAATTGTTGACAAGATATGAGAGATTAGGTAACGTGGCCGACCTCGACGAAGCAATCATTCGGGTGGAGAATAAGATAGAAGAATTGCTTCCAGGAAACCATGCGCGGGTGGGTCTGCTAAATTTCTGGAGCGACATGTTGGGAATAAGATTTAGGAGGGTAGGCGAGATATGTGATTTGGATAAAGCTATCCGCTTGATGGAGAAAGTGGGGAGGAGTTGTTCGCGTGGCCCCAGTAATATTGAATCGCTGGGAACCCTGGGAATCATGTTTCTGAGAAGGTTTGAGCAGATCGGAGACCTCGAGGACCTTCATAAGGCGATCCAGCATTCTGAAGAGGCACTTGCCGCTACATCCCAGGGTCACCTCGATCGCAGAGGAATACAGAGTAATCTGGGGATTATGCTTACCACGAAATTTGAGCGGATGGGAGACCCTGGTGATCTTGGAAAAGCCATCACGCACAGAGAACAGGCACCTGATGCTATGCCACAGAATGACCCCGGTAGAGCAGAAATGCAGAATAGCTTGGCTACCAGCATCTATATGAATTTTGAGAGGATGGGGGACCTCGGTGACCTAGAACAAGGGGTCAAACTTAGCGAAGACGCACTTGCGACATCACCTCAAGATCACCCTGATAGAGCAGCAAGCCATCCAATGGGTTGACCCGGGTCGAAAATGGGCCAACCCAACCCAACTCAAACCCAACGAATCTTCAACCCACCCAACCCAACCCAAGGAAGCAAGACCCGGGTTTGCCCAACGAACCCATTGGGTTATTGAAGAAATAGGAAACTACTCTGGTTAAGAAAAATATGATTATATTAGGTATTACGAGTGTTATATGCTTACAATAGTACAGAACCAACTCGTGTGGGGGAGGCAAATAGAAGTAATAGATATTACAGAGTGAGGGAGGAAAGAATAACATCAGTGATAGAGTGTAAACAGAAAATAACAACAAATTGGAGGAATACCAGATAAGTAGTCGCATAGGAGGGCAGGCAAAAAATAATGTTAACTAGAGGAAAATAGTTCAAGCTCGTATTGAGTGTCTTTAATCCTTTAGAACGAGTGATCCTCCGAGACCCCTAATCACTCTTAGGTCTAGCCTTTCCAAAGACTATTCAAATTTAGAGAAACCTCCGTTTTCACCTTTCTACTAACAGTAAATACTGTCTTAGAATTCTGTGGTTAGACTACAGTTTCCATGGTAATCGCGACAAAACAAAGGGAACGATGTTCGTTGGGTTCATTGGGTAACCCAGGTTACTCTCCCTTCAACCCAACCCAACCCAACGAAGCTCCACCCCAAACCCGACCCAAGGAACCCGACCCAACCCAATGAATGACCCGGGTTAACCCACCCAAGGCCGGACCCATTGGATGGCTTGTAGAGAAGTTTGGCAGAGCAACTTGGGAGCCCAGTTGTTTGCGAAATTTGGTAGGATAGGGGAGCTTGATGACCTCAGTAAAGGAATTAAATACAGCGAAGAGGCAATTACAACTACACCTCAGGACCACCCGCATCGAGGGGCTATACATAGTAATCTGGGAATAATGTTAACTTCGAGGTTTGAGAGGATAGGGGAACTTCATGACCTCCAAGAGGGGATTAGGCACAGCGAAGAGGCCCTTGCTACAACACCTCAACACCACCCTGATCGAGCGGGCACCCACGACAACCTCGGAATTGTATTCTCTGAGTGGTTCAAGCTAACAGGAGACCCTTGCGACCTTCAAAAATCTATCGGACATAGTGAAGAGGCAATTACTGCTACTCCTCAAAATCATCCCCGTCGAGCAGCCATGCATAGTAACCTGGGGAGCAAGTTGGCTACAAGGTTTGAGCGGATAGGGCAGCTTGAGGACCTCCACAAAGCCGTAAAGCATAGTGAAGACGCACTTGCTGCCACCCCTAAAGGTCACCGGCATCGTGCAGCCATGCACGGTAACTTGGGAAATATTTTAGCAATAAGGTTTAAGGCGGTAGGGGAGTTTGATGACCTCGAAAAAGCCATTAAGCACAGCGATGTAGTGCTTACAACACCTCGAGATCACCCCGATAGAGCATCGAGGCACAGTAGCTTGGGGAGTAAGTTGTCTATGAGGTTTGAGCGGATCGGAGAGCTTGGTGACCTCGGGAAAGCCATTAAGCATGGAGAACAGGCATTTGCTGCTACACCCAATCATCGCCCCGATCAAGCGGCCTACTGCGCTGATTTAGGAACCATGTTGTCTACAAGGTTTGAGCGGACAGAGGAGCTTCAGGACTTGGAAAGAGCAATCGTTTATTGTGAAAAGGCACTTACTTATACACCTCAAGATCACCCCGACAGAGCAAGTCGACACGGTATCTTGGGAATCATGCTTTCCACGAGATTTGAGCGGATAGGGGAGCTTGATGACCTCCAAAAAGCGATTAACCACGCCGAAGAGGCACTGATGGCTACACCTCTGGATCGCCCCTATCGAGCAGCCATGCACAGTAATTTGCGAAAAATTTTGTTCTCGAGGTTTGAGCAGATAGGGGAGCTTGATGACCTCCAAAAACCGATTGTTCATAGCGAAGAGGCACTTGCTGCTACACCGAATGATCACCCCGACAAAGCAGCCTACCACTCTAATTTGGGAGTAATGTTATCCACGAGGTTTGAGCAGATACGGGAGGTTGATGACCTCCGAAAAGCGATTACGCACTGCCAAGAGGCGATTACTGCTACCCCTCCAGATCATCCGCGTCGAAGAGACATACATAGGAATTTGCAAAGAATGTTTTTTGAGAGGTTGAAGCAGAGAGGGGAGCTTGATGACCTCCAAAAAGCAATTATGCATACCAAAGAGGCACTGGCTACTATACCGAATGATCACCCCGATGAAGCTGCCCACCACGCGAATTTGGGTACCATGTTTTCCACGATGTTTGAGCGGAGAGGAAAGTTTGATGACCTGCGGGAAGCAATTAAGCATGCCGAAGAGGCGCTTGCGGCTACACCAAAAGAGCATCCCGATAGGGCAGGTAGACACAGTACCTTGGGGGCCACGTTGTCCATGAGATTTGAGCGGATAGGGGGACTTGGTGACCTCCAAAGATCGATTATGCATAGCGAAGAGGCACTGGCTGGAACACCGAAAGAGCACCACGATAGAGCGCGTAGACATGGTAACCTGGCGAACAATTTGTCCTCCAGGTTTGACCGGATAGGGGAGCTAGAAGATCTGCAAAACGCAATTAGACATATCGAGGAGGCACTGGCTACTACACCGAAAGATCACCCTGATGAAGCAGCCCACCACACAAATTTGGGAGCCATGTTATCCACCAGGTTTGAGAGGATAGGGGAGCTGGACGACCTCTAAAGCGCGATTATGCATAGCGAAGAGGCTCTAGCTGGTACACCGAAAGATCACCATGATAGAGCAGCTAGACATGGTAACCTGGCGGGCAAGTTGTCCTCCAGGTTTGACCGGATAGGGGACCTTGATGATTTTGTTTAGGTATGACGAAGGAGCAATTGTAAATTGACTATAAAGACAAAATAAGAGAGCGACGATAGTGATCAATGAAAGACTGATTTTTTTACGTAAAGCAAGAAGGAAAAACATTGTGCTTTTATCCTAGGAAAATAATAAAACATAAAAGACGACTAGAAAAACTTTTCCTCCACATGATACAGGCTACTGATAGTCGGTAACAAGAGTGTCCCAGATGTTGTTGATGAGACAAAACAGAAACAAAACTAATGCAAGATAGACAAGTAAAACAGTAACAGAATCAACGGCTGCACCAACAGGTTTCAACAGATGACCTCCAAAAAGCGATTATGCATAGCGAAGAGGCACTGGCTACTATACCGAATGATCACCCCGATAAAGCAGCCCACCACGCGAATTTTGGAACCGTATTATCCACGAGGTTTGAGCGGATAGGGGAGCTTGAAGACCTCCAACGAGCGATTATGCATAGCGAAGAGGCACTTGCTGTTACACCGAAAGATCACCCCGATAGAGCGAGTAGACACAGTAACTTGGCGGGCAAGTTGTCCTCGAGGTTTAACAGGACAGGGGAGCTTGAAGACCTCCTGAAAGCAATCATTCATTGCGAAGAGGCACTTACCTCTACACCTCAAGATCACCCCAAGAGAGCAGCCCACCACGCGAATTTGGGAACCGTATTATCCATGAGGTTTGCGTGGATAGGGGATCTTGAAGACCTCAAAAGAGCGATTATGTATAGCGAAGAGGCACTTGCTGTTACACTCAAAGATCACCCCGATAGAGCGAGTAGACACAGTAACTTGGCAGGCAAGTTGTCCTCGAGGTTTAACCGGACAGGGGAGCTTGATGACCTCCAGAATGCAATTATGCATACCGAAGAGGCACTTGCCACTACACCGAAAGATCACCCCAGTAAAGCAGACCGCCTCAGTGCTCTGGGAGCCCTGTTGCTCCGGAGGTTTGAGCGAATAGGGGAGTTTGATGACCTTCAGAACGCGATCTTGCATACCGAAGTGGCACTTCTGGCTACACCTCAGGATTGCCCCACTAAAGCAACCCTCCGCGCTAACTTGGGAAGCATGTTACTGGTGAGGTTTGAGCGGATAGGCGATCCCGAGGACCTTCACGAAGCCATTAAGCACGGCGAAGATGCACTAGCTGCGACACCTCAAGATCACCCCCGGGTTGCCACCATCCACCAGAACCTGGGAACCAAGTTCTGTAGGAATTTTAAACGGACAAGAGATCCTGGTGACCTCCAAAAAGGCATTGAGCACTGTGAATACGCATTAGCAGCTACCCCTAAAGACCATCCCTCAAGAGCAACTATACATTACAGGCTCGGAAACTGGTTCTCTGAGAGGTTTGAGAGTCTTGGAGAACCCGATGACCTTCAAAAAGCCATTAGTCATAGCGAACACGCACTAGCTCCCACCCCCTCAGACCATCCTAGCAGAGCTATGCTTTGCAATGCCCTAGCTGGACACTTGTGGTCACGGTTCCGGCTCATGGACTCCATAGGGGATTTAAACGAAAGTCTCCGCCTATATCAGGAGGTTTCACATTCCCCGATCTCGCTCCCACGCGAGCGGATCAGGGCGGCTCATATCCAAGCTTCCTTACTATATCTAAACGGGAAATTGCAAGAATCAAGTTCTGCATTCGGGGATGCTGTCAACTTGATGCCCAGTGTCAATCTACGATTCTTGAAGCGGGACGACCAACAGCACACACTTTTAGAACTTTCCGGGGTAGTGCCAAGTGCTGCTTCTATGGCACTTCGGGCTGGCAGAGCGGCATATGACAGCCTTAAGCTACTGGAGCTTGGCCGCGGAATAATCACGGGTTTTACAATTGACTCAAGGTCCGAAGTTTCTGATCTAGAAACTGATCATCCGCATGAATACGCCCAATTTCACAGCCTCCGAGTTGAGATTGACTCGCCACCCGAGGCGACCAACTCCGTAGGAAGGGAAACACGGGATTGTGCTGTATCTAGACGCTGGGAGGATGTCAATGAGATGGAAATGATTCTAAATCGCATCCGGACGTTTCCTGGCTACAGAGGGTTCCTACTTCCACCCCCCCCCCTGAGTCCCTGATGAATATGGCAAACAATGGCCCAATTGTTGTCTTCAATTGCACCCCTTATGGGAGCGACGCCATCATTGTCACCAAAGCAGGTATAACCTCGTTAGAACTTCCAAAATTGACATATAGTGAAACAAGCCACTGGATGGCGCAATTGGCTAGTTTCGGGGGAGGGGGTTTGATTAAACATGGTCAGGACAATAGAAAAATGAAAGACCTCCAAATTTGGCTATGGGATGCCGCTGTTGGACCCGTTTTTGACGACCTTGAGCGCAGCGCGATCATTACCGGTGCGGGCGTTTCTAACACTACTTTGAAGCGGATTTGGTGGATCGGGGTAGGCCAATTGAGCATGGCACCTTTCCATGCGGCCGGGGACCATTCGTGAGGGTCAACCCATAATACTTTAAGTAGAGTGATGTCTACATATACCCCTACAATCAAAGCCCTAAGCTACGCGCGCCAGACACAACTCCACTTATTTGATGAACCTAGTGCCTCGTTCTCGGGGGATTGCTCCAAGAAATCCAAAATTCTTACCCAACGGAATCCGTCCTTACTTCTTATTCCCATGCCGAAAACACCGGGGCAGCTACCTCTACCAGGTGTCAATAGAGAAGTTCAATATATATCTGATTCAGCTGCCAAAAATTCAGTTAAGGCCAAAGTATTGAACCGCCCAACCCCAGCCAAAGTCCTCCGTCAGGCTCAGAGCCATGACATTGTCCATTTCGCCTGTCACGGAATGTGGGACATCAACCCTTCAGACGGCTGCTTGATCCTATTTGCTCCAGAGGGAGATGCCGCGGACAAACTGATGCCTCGAGATATATCCAATATGGCTGCACAGAATGCACAGATCGCCTATCTCTCGGCCTGCTCCTCCGCCAAAAACCCTTCTACTAAATTAGCGGATGAGGTCATACATCTTGCTAGCGCATTCCAGCTTGCGGGATTCAGCCATACACTCGCAAACTTGTGGGAAACAGATGACCATGCTTCCAGTGAAGTGGCAAGAGACTTCTACACCTTCCTTTTCCAAAACCGAGAGCACACCGATAGGCACCTACGAGTCTCTGCCGCTTTCCATCAAGCTGTGAAAAACTGCCGGGACAAGAATCCTTACGATTTTCTTACGTGGGCCCCTTTCGTGCATATGGGAGCCCAAGATATCCGGCCCGTAAAGTATTCTGCGAATGGTCCTCTCCCTCTCAATTTGATAAGTCTAACTTTTAATAGTAAAACACCTGTCTCCCTACAGACTAAGTCTCTCCTCTTCCCAGCACTGTTCCCCACCCCTGCCTTTCCTCCAGACCATCCATTACTCCCATTTAGTATTATACAAACTAGTACATGTTTATACATACCCCTCTCTTTATCGTTTAGTTTTTCCTTGTTTTCGAAAGGGTCTGTCCCGGGCTTGATTTTCACATCTTCCGGCAGACAAGGAGTTAAAATAGTCGCTTTGTAGATAAAATTTTATCTATTTTGCATCAAGAGGCACGTTTTCTGGATGGCAATTTCTTTCATGTTTTGGCTTAGTCCCTGTCCATGTCTCTCTCGTTCTCTTCACATCTTCATAGCGAGGGTCTATTCATATTAGGATGCAATTGTGTTTGAGGATTAACGTCTACTCGTAAATTGTTAGAATTGTTGAGTTGAGTTGTTTCTACGGTGAACGCAGAGGGTGACGAGTGACCAAAAGTCTTTCGGGGATGCCCCTAGGCTTTGGATTGTCAATGCTCTCAGAAGCCCGTTGGCGGAATTAAAGTAAGTCGGTATATACAGCATCTACCCGTGGGGTGGTGGGGTCGTAGCAGTGGCGGGAGGATGCATTAAGCCCATCGTTTATCAGAATTTCAAACACCCCTCCACAAGATGCAAACTTTCCCTACATCTGCAGTTACACTCGAGTAAAGGGGGGTACTACTATTAGGGACCGCGCTCCCACAGAGAGTGTGGGACATGAAATGTGAAACTTTGCGATTCCCTGCAGTTATCATAGTCACTAGAGTCGAAAGTGGCTGAAAGGTTGCATGGTCCACTCGGCAACACTGTCCCACAATTGGCACAAATGAGTGACGCGACAGTAACCCTCGGGAGGAATCGGTACTAAAGAATTATCATCACATTCAAAGCTTTTGGTTCCGAGCAAGGATAATTTCATTACCCTAGTTCTCGGAAGCGCCGTGAGTACAGTAGTTGGGACTCTTGCTGGCGGTTGGTTATTTTTCTCCAGTTTTGTGGCTTAAAGCCTTGTATTACAAGACTGGAGTCTGCAGCTCAAATACTGGTTGGGCCTTACCCTGCGCTCCCTAACCCATCTCCCAAGATCAAAACCTTCCGATGCAACTTCGAAATCCGTTGTTAACTTACAAGTCACCCGTTCAATAAAATTGACAGAGCATCCCACCCACAGTGTGCAACGATCCGGCGAGAACCAGAGGGCAGGATTAACACATTCCACAGATACTGTCCACTCGCTAGCAATAGGATGCGGGGTCCCTGGGTTGTGTACCAAGAGCCCAGAGGATCGCGACACGTGCCCAATATCCACACTCCACCTTCTGACTGTAGTCTGCTGTGGCTTTCACAGACTCCTGAGACTCGAATGGAGAGTGGACATGACTACCGTGTAGGGCGCGCCGAGTCTGCTATCATTGTCTCTACTTCCCACACAATCAAGCTGAATGTTACCGTACTTAATACCAAGATTCTTAACCAACTCCCATGGCCAAAGATCCAGATGAACCCTGGCTATACCTACAGCACCTACTAGAATTCACGCACTCCAGCGAATTGACTCCGTGCTTGGAATCAGGATGGGACAGGAGGTCGAGGGCCTCTAAAATCAACGCCTGGTGTCCGACAAGACAATGAGAAATCTCTGTGGTACCTTCGTGGGATTAAGGAGCCTCTGATCTACCTCATTTACTAAACAAGTGTAGAGTTCATAATTCAAGTGTCATTGCCTAGACAAGGTATATCCTGATATACCTCACTTTCCGGGCATTGAGGGTAACTTTATTCTTGCTGACATTCATATCCTCTCCCCATCGCTAGGTGACTCGCAAAACAAACAACCTATTACCGATGCTATCAGTATTACCAGGAGCGAGCTGGTCCATTATTGCGAGCAGAAATATGTCCTTGATTGTTTGTCATGCCATTAACCATTATTCAACAAATTCTCACATGATCTCAAGTACTTAGGAGAAGCAGTGGTTGGCCTGGCCCATTCTCCAATCGTTTTACACAGATTATGATAGCCGGGCTCGGGTATAGTGCTGAGTTGAGTGGCTATCGGGGGGGTATCAGCACCCATCCAAACAACCTATCGTCGAATTAAGTCCGGCAGCCCTCAGCGGATCAGATGATATATCCAGGATGTTACTAGAGGGAAGAATCAAGGCAGATTTACCCCCCGAGGAGCGTGGAACCTTACACATGGGTTGTCTTATGAGTAATGGGTTAGAAACTAAAGTTGGTAGAGGGAGGAAATGCTCGTCGACAGACGACTTCCTTGAAAATGAGTGTGAGAGTTACTCTACCTATAGACATAGTTTCTCTTTTTCCAAGTTACAAAGAATTCTAATCCAATAAACCCGCTCCAAGTAGGGTCTTGCCATCATCACCTAAGGTTCCCTAGTGAAAGTATGCCCTATGTTCACCACCGTATAAGAACAAATGCTTTCGTCCTAGAGTTGTTTGTCCTGTCTGTCGCCATCTTGTTCCCATACTCTCCCTACGCCCCCCGAGGCTCAACCTCATCGGTATATCAAAGTAGAAATGCCCCCCTAAAAATCCACCTTCCCCATCTCCTTCTGCTGCACTACCTCCCTCTCCGTACCCGCAGCAGTCAAGAAGTAGAAGACCCTTTCCGTGACAGATATTCTCCACTCATTTCTAGGTTCCGATTGAAACCAGAATTTTGAGCATTACTGCCACTGTGGCCCTAGGGCATGGATTTGATGGTGGGCTCTGCCTTCAGCGTGAAAACCTGCACCCCCTCACCCCCTGTCCCCCACCCCTAACCGGACATCTACCAGGTGCTTGATCCCGAGGGATGGCCAAAGTCATAGGTTGCCCATTTTTAGCGATCCTAGCCAAAACACTAACTTAGTCTGTCCGGTTACCAAATGGCCCCAATTGACGAGTAAGACATATGACAAAATATATGTCTTCGGTACCCTAGCGCTTGTGGGAGTATGATACCGGTAGACCCACTCGCAGGCAACCCTAGCACCAACGGTTACTTGACACAGCTTTTGCCAGTTCGGAATATATCCCATGTTCCACTGTTAAGTCACCCGCCCACAACCCACAGACTTTGAGTTGGAGGTAAACTGATCTACTGTAATAGAGGGATCCAGCAGTGAAATAAACCCCATACCAAAAATATACCGCGCATCGGAGGGCGGACTTGGTTGTGATCCTCCGCAGGTTCTTGAAATCCAGCGCTGCGCCAGGACGTCACAACACTCGGGAGGCAATTGGATCGCAGCCCGAAGCATAAACTAGCCCGGATTGTCATTTAATGGTCCTGACTGATTATGCCAAGCGGGGGTGCTGGAATTTCACCTTTGCCGGTTTATCACTGTTGCTGTGGTTACCGCATCTTCCGCAGGGATAATCCCCACTGCTGGTTCTCTCAAATCCAACCCTAACCCAGCTTCCACGCCGCAATCATCTGCAAGAATCCTTTTTCTATTTCTTTTCTCTTCTTCCCCCCCTCCAACCTGACAACTGTTATAAGAAACTGGACTCACAAGGTAGTAGAGAAACCGATTCTTTAGCCGTGAAATTCTCCTCGAGGGCAAGTTGGGCTCCCAAACTCTAGTGGTGTGCAGCTTGCTCGATATCGCGGGTGTGAAACAGAAATACTCGCGAAAATCAAAAGTCTGTCTCCGACCTTTACCGAGGCGCAACCGACCGAACCACACCCTGCTTGTAAAAAATGCGGCTCATGGGGCTCACCTCTCATAACCTCTGGACATCACTAGTGACCCTGTTTTCCAATGATATTTTATTTATGGGCAATGCTATCAACACAATTCTCCCATCGTCAGGGCTGTCAGAGCGGAGTAATTGCTGTGTTGCCACCGGCGGCTATACCTCGGGGACAGACTTTTGATTTTGGCGAGTAAACCGCTGTACGCACAGGTATCCGTAACTCACCAGTAGCAAACAACGCTGAGTACAACGAAGCCTTAAATATCCACAAAACCAAAGCGGGGCGACCTTCTAAGTCGGAGACAAAAACTAAGCGTGATTTCTAAATCTATGATGCAAGTACATACCATGATCAAGAACATGCCCACCCGGCCATGTCACAAAAACAACCCTAACCCTGTCCCTCTCCGGCTCTCGGTAAAAAATTTCTTGCCGTCGCTGTGCCCGTCCTGTCATTCATCCATCACACATATCCCCGGCCGCATCCACTAAACCAGCGGAAGCAATGGAGCGCTGCAGCACGTTCCGCCGCTAGTGCCACCCTATTCCTCCATCTCCGCTGTTCTGGGCCATTCTTTATGCAAATTCCTACAATGCTGTTGGGGGCCTTGGGGTTGTCTTGATGAGGCTGAGGGGATGTATGGGTTACTCATCTATCCCCGCCTTGCTGGCGCTCTGGTTTTCCTAACTAAATGCCCAATATACACGTGTTTTTCCTGCTGGAGGCTGGGAGTCTTGCTGATGCTTTGTAGGCTGGGGTGGTAGTGGGGGGATGGTTTCCAGGAACCAGTCAAAGAGGAGGGCCAGGGCAGATATTGAGGAGGGCCAGGACATATATTGAGGAGAGGAGCAAGGCAGAGGGCAGGCTGCGGAGAATCGCTATCAAGTGAAGTGGAAATGTAGGGGTCAGGAGTTCCGGAACATGCACATCTCTTAATGGTTGCAAAAGGGCTTACTCTGCCCCGAGCTTCTTTTTCTCCGGCAGAGCTTAATTGCGTTCACCGGGAGCTGGACGAGTGATGCGAATTCCCGGGGCGTTGCCAACTGCAATTAAATAGAGAGTTCTAAAAGGGGAAAAGCAGAATTTGGATCCTTTGTTCGACCTGCTCTTTTTCGCGGCCGTAGGGAATCTACAATCACCGGTATGGGGGGCAAGGTTTTAGAGCTGATCGTTGAACAAGTAGGATCAGTGTCGGAATCCGATCTTTTGGCGGCAGAATTGCTGCTTGGGCTCCTGCGCCTCTATCCACGACCACCGATCACCGTACTGATTCAGTCGCTAAACATCTCGCTCAAAATCCCCACAACACCCCCAATCTCCACCATCCGCAACATCGCAATCCTAATCACCACAGCCTTACCTACCTCCTAACTTCTCCACCCCTTCCCCCCTCCCCACTTTAGCCGCCCGCTTCTCCTGAGATGACTGAGGCACCCACGGTCGAGAGTGTACTCGTACTGTATCGCTTCGAAATGCTGACACAACTCTTCACCAAAGTATTCCGATATAGTGATAGATGCTATCCGAATTATCATACTACACATGTTCCGTACCCGCCTTAATCAGATCTGCCGCGTCAAGCGGATACCCCACAGGGAGTCCCAACCAACTCCCCCCGAAAGCGGCACTTTGAAGGATTATCGCAACCGGAAGACATCCCAGGAATCAACTACCGTTCCCCTCATGGCTAATCCACCCACCCTAGCAACCATGCAATAAGGAGATAGCGAGGAAAAAAGAAATTCGAGAAGTGTAGTGCACGTTAGTGACTTGTCCCCAAGGGTAAAAAATCTCGGCTCCTCCCAGAAGCCTTCGTCGTACACGGTAGTTTTGCTAACAATTCCCAAATGTACCGTACCCGGATCTTGAGACGTGTGGTACAAATACTAGAAGGGATGGGGGGAAAGTGTGCGATCACCCCCGACACAGCGCCGCGAGTTCAAATATTGAATTAATCGTGGTTCTGAGCTCTGAAATAGCGTAATTGACTGCTCTCTGCCTGTTGGAAACAAAAGAAATAAGTGCGGGGGGGGGGGGTTACACGATTCCCTCCACGGCTTCCAGCGCCATTACCCCGGGAGGGGAGGACCGGAATCCCCTGGAAATCAGTGAGTGCACAGGGACTGGCAAGATCGATAAGCCCCAGCCGGCAGGAAATTATTACCAAATTGTGTGGATGCCAGGGATCAAGGACAGCGGCCAGACGAGTAGCCAAAATGTGTAAAGCTCCTCCGAGAGCAAGGCTGGGTAATTGGAAACGTGCTCTGGTGGGCTATGGGTAATGGGGTCTGCGCGGGTTAGCAACGTTTGTTCAGTCAATTCAATTGGATTTGTTCCCGAGCGGGTTGCGGAGTCGTTATCTGGGTGTTGATCTCCTGCACGGCTGATGCGGTTAGCTGCGCCCCTGAACAGCCACGTTGAGTTGTCGAGAGCTTCGTTGCGCGAGGCATAAACCGTTATTGCTTCCCCACGAGGAAGCGGTAATTTCTTCGGGTCGGGGAATGGAGTTGTCACTTATGGAGCTAGTACTGCGCAGTACCCGTGCATCTATAGTCCTATCTGTGCGGTCAAGCACTGCTTCATGTACCGATACCCGGTACTCCACCTGCTTATTGTCTCCAACGCCCCCTTCAACGATCCACGCCCATCTTTGAGTTTATCGTGTCCATAGATATTCCGTAGGCATTTGGCCCATATGGCCACTACGCCCAAAGACCTTTCGCCGAGAGGGGATCGGGGGGGGATACTCCAATAGTGTTCATAAGAGAGCCAGAGGGAATTCCTTAATGATACTAGTATAGTATCATCCCAGAGGCATATATACCGTATATTCGTCTCCCGGGTTGGCAGCCATTTAGCCACGCAAAATGGTTTTTGCGCTGCCGGCGAATTGAGCCCGGCGGGGTTGCCCAAGCCCCCCCGGTGTCATGGTCAGAGCTCACGGACTGGGCTCTGGCAAGCCTGCCAAGGTCATTTCGATTTCGATTGGTGGAGTATTGAAAGCCTCGCTGGGTGAAGAAACAAGGCGGCGACATTGCTCTGCTTATACCCCCATTCATATGGTCCATTCGGGTAAATGCGAAGAGACCACGTCAAGCCGCTGAGCCGCAAACACGAGGCGCAACTACCAGCGACATCCAAAACCCCCGATTCTGGTATCGGTCTTGGATGAGACGCTCGTGCAGCTCCTTCGCACATGTATACGGCAAACGAGGGCTCCCCCAAATAGGTGAGAGCCTCATAGGCACAAAAGGACATCTCTGGGATAGGTGGTATAGAGGTGCAATCATGCAGCGTTTTGCGAGGGAGGATTATTTCGGAAATTATGAGCGAGGCTAGGTTGACAATACCTAATAGAAGGTTTATGTATGTGCTGCGGACCCCATTTTCCTTATACAGCCGGATACACAGGTGGAGTGTGATATATACACGCTGGTGGCGCCGATGACTTCCTAATTTTCAAACTTCTCATAAGCGTCTAACCTCACCACGTTGATTCCAAAAACTCAAGTTATTCGACTGCGCGTGCCGAATTTACATAACCCTTGCGTTAACTCCACCCCTTCCCACAAATCCCGCAACTCACCCCCGACTCTGTGATACAACATCTTTTCCAGTTGCTTCTCTGACGATTCTAAATTTCGCTCCGGGCAAAATAAAATACGGGGGTGGCGAAAGGATAGCCGAGAGAGGGATAGGTTTTTTGGGAGAGCCGGACGTGGGCCCAAGAGGTAGGATAAATTTCAACTAATTATGCTGGGAACGCCAGTCACTAACGATGTACTATAGGCTTCCTGTATTAGAGCGTTCCGTCCGCGGATCCACGAGCAAGACCTTAAACCACACTCCTGGGGGGGCAAACGTCGAAACCGACGCTTGAGCTCAATTACGAAGGTGTTTAGCCGGCAGAAGCCCGGAATTAAGAACACTTGAATGCTATAGCATTGGAAAGGCTCGGCGGCATACCAGCTACGATAGGTATTAACAAAGCCCAGTTCTATCCCAGGCACTGCTAACCCTAACAGCTAGTGATCGATCTCATCTTAGGGCGCCTAGGACCCCCCTACATAATCTACACCAACGGGCGGCGCTCAAACTTACGCGAGGCACCCAGGCAGTACCGCTTGGGCCACCAGCAAAATCCACCAAACGCTAGACATAGTTGCACATTCTACGGGTATTTGCAGACGCAATATGACAGAAATACTAGGCACATGCGGTGTGTTGGGTTATCCGAGTGGGGCTTTGGGTCAAGGCGCGGGAGCCACGGGGTGGCAGGAAGATCTACGTGACGTGATCGAAACCGGTGATGTGCTATTTTCCCAAGACGAGCGAAATAGCGTCATAGACATACTTAAGGAGCTGGTTGCGGTGGCCGAGCATGCTATGACAGAACTGGCCCCTTTCCACCCTAACAAAGCGGTTTTGTCGGCCAAGTTGGGCAAAATGTTGCAGGGCATATTTGAGGATACAGAAAGCAGGGAAGAGCCGCACGTGGTATCGGTGTCGGGGCTCTGGGATGTGGACGAAACGCGAGGGGACACGATCGCCGCTGCGGCTGCCTGCAGTATTATCAGCACAGCACTTCAACAGCTGGAGAGCTCACGCAACCTTACTACACTACCGGGCACGGATTTGTTCATGAGATACAAGAAGATAGGGGACATTGCCGACCTCAACGAAGCAATTATTCGGATAGGGAAGGCGATGGAAGAATGTCTACCAGCCAACCCTGCTCGGATGGATATGCTATGTAGGTGGAGCGCCATGTTGACCGCGAGATTTGAGGTACTAGGTGACATGAATGATCTAGAATTGGCAGCAGGGAAAAATCAGGAAATAGTGAGAGGGACGGATTCTGGGGACCGCAATCATATCAATGCGCTTGGAAATTTGGGGGGCATATTTCTAAGAAGGTTTGAGCAAACCGGTGACTCTGACGACCTCCAACAAGCGATTAAGAACGGGGAAGAGGCATTAGGCGCTACACCCCAAGGCCACCCCAATAGAGGTGGTATACAGAATACCCTGGGAGGCATGTTCTTCGTGAGATTCGAGCAGTTAAGAGCCCGCGACGACCTCCAAAAAGGGATCGAGCACAGCGAAAATGCACTAGCCACAGCACCTCATGACCATTCCAAACTAGCGGCAATTCACAAGAATCTAGGAAACATGTTACGTAGGAGGTTTGAGCTGATAGGGACCATTGAGGCCATTGGCGACCTCCATCGTGCGATCGAGCACAGCGAAAAGGCAATAGCCACTACGCCCCGGGATTACCCCCACCGAGCGACGGCGGGTGATAACCAACGGGGCGGATCCCCGGCGAATTTCGTGCGGATAGAAGACCTGGATGAACCCCGAAAGGACGGTCGGCACGGGGAAGAGTCTGGAGCTACTACCCCCCAATTTCACCCCCACCGAGCGACCGTGGACGATAGCCGGGGAAACGGGTTCACTGTGACATTTGAGCCGGGAGAAGGCCCCAATGACCAACGGAACGGTATTCAGCACGGCGAAGAGGAAGAGGCTGCTACCCCACGAGCTCCCGCCAACCGAGCCTCCATGCATAACAACCTAGGAAATATGTATTACACAAAGTTTGAATGGACAGGAGAGCATGGTGACCTCAAAAAAGCAATTAAGCACGGCAAAGAGGCCCTAACCGGCACACCTCAGGATCGCCCCAACCGAGCTTGTATCTGCGATAGCCTGGGAACGAGGTTGCTCGCGAGGTTTGATCAAACGGGCGACCTTGGCGACCTCCAGAAAGCCATTAGGTACAGCGAAGAGGCACTTGCCACTGCGCCTGCAGATCACCCGGCCCTAAACGGCATGCATGATAACCTGGAAGCCATGCTCTCTACCAGGTCCGAGCTGGTGGGAGACCCGCACGACACCCAAAAAGCCTCCAGGAAGGGGAAACAGGCCATAGCTGCAACGCCTCAAGATCACCCGAGCCCCTACCCGGAGACCATAGACGATAGCCAGGGGGACCCATTCTCAGCAAATTTTGAAACGATAGAGGACATTTATGACCTCTAGAAAGCCTGGAGTATGGCGACCTGCTACTCCCCACGACCGCCCAGATGAGGAGTTGTTACACACTTTCCGCCGGAACTTTCACCAAAGCTTTGGAACGATATATCTTAGCATGTGTTTTCATTTCACTAGTGTTTATTTTTTATTTTTTTCCCTACATACTTTTGAATAGCGAGTATACGGGAATGGCGTTGGCTTTTCTTTTTACGGCTGACATCCGCGCGGGAATTATTGCAATTTTTGTGACGCTTCGTATATTCCTTTCCTAAATCCCCAAGGCGGGTCTCGGCGGCTGGTGGGATGCGGTTGTAGGCATTAGATTGTTTTGGATGTTTGATGTTGACAGATAAATGTATAGTATAGTAGGGCGAATGGAAATACTGTGGATTGGTATCTATCAGCGGGGTGATCAACTGTGGGACTGGGAGATGTAACCTGGCATGCCATCGTGAGGAGCTCAAACCCTCAGCTCCGCCCGCTTGATTAGTATAGTATACTCTGTCCGAGTCGCGAGGAAACCGGAGGGCCCTATTACCAGATCTCATCTGCTCAAGCATGTGGGGCCCATATAGATACAGACATTCGTACTGTTGGGTAATTGTGATTGTCATGATGGTTGGGAATTGCTGAGCAGAGGGTGTGCACTGCTAGTCTTACTCTTGATATCACCACGAGTAGGTAATCTGTAATAGTTGGATCCACTCCTATATTGTTTGGCTCATAGTTGGTAAAGCAGGTGCGACGCAGGAAAACGATAATTATTATGATACCACATATATTTCCTATTGGATATCTTGTATGAAAATGATGGGTGGGGGCATTATTTCCATCAGATTCTATATTAAAAAAAAATCGGCACTCCCGGCTCTAGAACCCGAGGAGGTATGTGGCGGCTCTAAGACCTATTTTCTCGGGCGAAGACCTCCCAGTGACTCCTGTCACCACCACCGCGGCCCTCTGGTGTGATATACCTCCATCTACCTATTCGGCCAGTATCTCCGCCTCGTCCATTTCAATTTGTAGTCCTTTGGTATCGATGATAGGTATTCGCAGTAGGGGTCAGTCCGGGTATGGGTGTGTATGGAACTCGCAAAAGTCCGGTGGCGGTTGAAGCAATTCAAGACCTGTCGTAGCGGAGTCGTTTTCAGAGTCTATGACCGACGTCAAGTATTCGATTGGAATAAACCCCCTTGACCTTTCTTCCCGTCCTTCTCGGCCCTTCGAGCGCCGATACTCCTGCGGTTTACTGCCGCTTTCACCTTCCTGTGAGCCAGCCGTGTCCTCCCCCTGCCACCCTATGCCCAGCGCTTCCCCCCCCGCGCCTTGTAGAGTCCCAAAGGGCGTGTGGTGGTTGAGGAATATCGCGCGTGGCCACCGCTGATTTTCTCACGTTTCGCGCCATGCGTGCTCACGCGTCGCGCTCGCTTTGACCGAGTATGGGCGAGTCGAAATCGGACGGGAGCCGGGGTACGGAATTGGGTTTTGGTAGGAAATTCTAGTGATGGTCGGTGGGGGACGTGGGTCTGTACCGTACGGTAGTCCCAAACTCGGTGGGGGATCGCGATGACTATCACAGCTAGCGTGTTGGAAAGTTCCGAGTGCGGCTCTTGTCTGTACGGGCTTGGCACTTTGTCCTGGGCTCAGCGGCTCTTACTCTTGTGTTACATTGCAGCGGCTTAAAATCGAAACGAGCCCCGCTTTTCTGAGGTCAACCGGTCACAAACCCGCAACACAACTTTGGAAACCCATTGCTATGATGCGACCACCAAAGTCACCCTTACCGCAGGACCGAGAGAGAGCTTGGCTCGCAAAGCAATGATAATTGGGCTGAGAGCAGAAGGCGAAGTTACCGCTATTACACTGATGTAGGTAGTGAGATGCGCCGTCTCATGCCGGTCTCCGGGAACCCTGTGGGAGCAGGATACTTGCCGCCTCCTCGAGCCTTTCACCGACTGGAGACTCTAGCTACTCTCAGGGGCTCTTGAAGTTTTGCGGGGTGGTATGGGCAAATCGCGGCAGGGTTTTACCAACATTGCCTCCATTGCACCCAGCAATATTGCGGAATATTACATCGCGACCACCGCTACCGAACCCGGGGAACTCTGAATATGGTTGTCACGGCTGCGGGACCTCTCACCTCCTGGCAAATCGGTTGGGTGGGCCATCCAGGATCCCGACATAATACTTGACCGATGATCTACGAGTGCGGAACAGACATGGAGTTGGTAGTTTACCCCACGTTCCATGGATTATCGCTTTATACCTGTTGGTGCTTTTATCCCCATCTACCACTGGAAGAGCTTGAAAACGACTCATTAACGGTGGGTGCTGTCGGGGGTGCTAGAGGAGATTTGTGATCTCTTATTTTGTGCAGAAATATCCCCTCTCCGATTATGCAGCGACCCCGGCAGGCCACTTCCAAGAATCACAGTATCGCAACTGCTAGCCAGTATTATCTATCCCCGGATTATTTCCCACGTTCAACGAAAACAACTCAGCTTCGGCAGACGGCGGCAGCAGTAGAGCGACTATTGGAGCAAATAGGAGATGTCAACACCCGACCTAAACAACGTGGCACAGCATAGAACGTAAAAGCTCTCTAGAAAGCCGGGTATATCATAAGGACGTCACTGGAGTGTGGGATCGATGGGTGCTTGCCCGGGGAGGATATTCGCGTGTGGATAGATCTGGGAGGAGTGAGACGGAGGTTTCTGAAGTTATTGGAGGGAGGAAACGTTTATCGGCGGGCGGTTTCCTCGCAAATTAGTGTGGGAACGGGCTGCCTGTATGCATAATCTCTCCCCAAGCGAGGGACGAACAGTTTCAATCAATCAAACATACCGTAAAAACTCGAATACAAGAGAAATGTGCTAGGACGTTGCAGTTGCCTCTCCTAGTATGGCGCCGTGTATATTCCTTTTGTTTTGTCTTAGCTGAGGGCTGAGTTTGCGGTGTTTTTCCCACGCTTTGTCGAGAAGGGGAATTCCAACGTCCTAGCACATTTCTCTTGTATTTGAGTTCTTACGGTATCTAAATTCCCCGGGGCTCACCAGCATTACCGAGCGTTCCCAAAGTTGCCGCGGTCTCGCGCTCCGACATCCTCCATGCCTACGTTCCCCCGACCTGACTAACTACTATTATACCCACAATACCCACATTACCCTAATCTCCATCCCCTGTTTCCCTACCCTCACCACCCATTTACCCCCCTCTGATGTTACCAAACCACTCTTCCTAAGCTGTCAGCTGTCCTCTTCGCGTTACCGAGTGACAGCCGGTGAGAGACCAGTGCATGCAACCTAATTTATTAATACTATGATAGCAGGACCCACCCGACACATAACTAGCTAAATAACCCATCACCCGTAAAAGCAAAAGCAGGGAAGAGAAGAGGGCTCTCATTAAGACGCACGCAGTTGATATAATAACCACCAACAAATTGGCAATATGTTAGGGATCTGACCCGTATCCGCTTTTCTTGGAGCCAATTTAACTTGCCCAGGAGGATATCATACATGCTTCGCCTTGCACAACAGAGGCGATCCGAAGTCCGAGACACTCCTTCCTTGGCACCACACGGTTTCTGATGCAAGAGAAGTTGGTACTAGAACGGCGGGGTGAACCGCATTGTGTGCGTTGCGAGGCGATCGCGGATTAATTGATGGTACGGAGAGTGTAAGTCTGCCATGGCAACACCAATTGAAGAAACTGAGTAAGGATTGTTTGATCGGGGTGGGGGGTAGAAGTTGGAGGTAGGGGACCGGGTTGATAGATCTGATGTCGGAGACGTTGCGGACTGTAGATGTGCTGGGATACCTGTCCGATGTTAATTAATTGAGCACACCCCGGAGAAAGCCGATTGGTGGGTCAAGCTAGCTGTGTGCTGCAGGGAGCAAGTGCCGGTGGAAAGGGCTAACCACGGTTATGGGCAAGGTCAGATGTCCCCTTGAACAACTGGCTTGTGCACGCAACCGCGGCTGCCAATGACACTTAACCCAACGGGGATCTGGTGGGGGCATTGCGGTGGCATTCCCAAGAGGGCTAGAAGGACTCGCTTGATCACTCTGTGATAGTGTTGTATCACCGATGCGCCAGTCGTCTATCTTTAAGTCCAATTCATTGTACTATGATGCATCGCTTTGGCATCGACATCCACTTAGTCTTGCGCAATTTGTCCCTACCCTGGGGGGCGCAGTTCGTTGCGTTGGCCAGGCTGTCCTAGGTGTTCCTTTGATGGTTGGTGTTCGATCGGTCACATGAATTGGGCGAGGGGAGCCGCTAGGCTGGTGAAAGCTCAAGGCGTGTGGGCGATTTCTTCGATTTGGCGTCCAAGGATATCCGGGATCGCAGCAGCCTTAGTAGCAAATACAACAGAGCATATAGGGGGCGCTGGGGGCATATGCGGGGCGCGGTTGTCAGTGGTGTTCGGAAACGAACCGTGCTATGGGTATTAGCGGTGACACTCATGCGGCTCCAGAATATTGCGGCTCGAATTGTTAGGTTTGTTAGGAACGGGATGCATTCATAGTATCATATTCGCGAGAGGAAATGAAACAGAGGAACTGATAGAGAACCCCGATCCTTACGTTGGAAAACAACTGCGCAGGGAGAGCGGGCTGAGGTGCATATGGCAAACAGGAGATATGATTGGCGGGCCAGACTCACTTGAACGGTACCGCACCAGTCCAAGTTCATCGCCGGTTGGACAGAAACTGCGCACAAGCGAGGCTTGCCTGGCTAATCACATCTCGTGTTAGGAACTTCTCATGAGCCCTCAACTCAGCCGCCTTTATTTCGACACCGTCCAGCGAGTCAGGTGCCGTACCCTACCCCAACACCCAGAATTGGAGAACTGAGTGCTGTGTCGTTGAAGTTGCCACCTTTGTTAAGGCCTGGTGTCCTTTTTGTTTTTTATGTCAATGGCAGGTGCTGGGGATCTCCGGTTTGACGGTATATCAGCCGCTAGTCCAAGCAAGAGACCAGCCCCCTGGCCTCGTATGGCACAAGGTTCTATTGTTCGACTATTTGTGGTATATAGCTAAGCGCACTCTCTATTAATTACATCGACTCTAGCTCACACCATATTGTGCACTCCCATCAGATTCAGCACAGCGCAATCTTTTTCCTCAACCGACCCCGTATCTGACCCCGAGCGAAACAAAACTGATAGAGTCGTCGAAAATCGCGGCGATAGAAGTGCCTTAGGTTCAACGCAGGAAAGGAATATCGAAGTGGTGAAACCGATTGGGTACGATACTTGGAGAAGGCAAAGAATTGTTCTGAGCAAGCCACTCGCTAACTTTGCACGATTATGGGGTAGAAGTTTTATATCGTGAAGTTCCGGAGGGACGCCTGGAGCTGAACGACCGAGGGACGAACATTGTGCTCCGGGATACCCCCTACTGCCGAGCCACCTACCCTGCAGGAAGCGGAGTTGTGGATAATTGGACGTACTGTAAGGAGACATACAGAAAGGTAGGTACTCTGCCAGCCGCCGCAGGTGTTTGCACAGATCCCCCGTCTTGGGATGTTCTAACTCCACCAGTTTGTTATCAAGACCCCAACTCAGCAAGCATTCCTCCCCAGCCACAACATATACAACAAGTGTCGC